TAAAACACCATCACCAGTAGTGTGTACCGGGCCAAACATATGCCAACATATGCATATCGTGTTTAGTGTGTGTATGCAGGAACGAACAACGAGCGTTGTCGACAGGAATAAAAAAAATGACAGCTGCTGGGGTTCGAAGCCATGATTGTTGTTGCTGTTGATGTTGTTGTTGTTGTTGTCTTCACACTAAACTCGTGTCAGTTTTTGAATCCCAAAAGCTAGCAAAGACGCGGTCCGTGGTCACGAAAAGCTAGAGCCATCAGAAGATCCAAATAACACGCAAACTAGCAAGAAAAGGGTACACAAGCCCGAAGAGGTACACCTACATCTCTGCAGCACGTTTGCGTGCCCAAAAACTGAACTACCCGTTCACACGCTACATTCGAATACAGCAGCATCACCCCCCCTGTCCTACACTTGACCAAAATGAATGTCGACTACAGCGTACAGCTGTCTGGAGTGCTGCCTGTACAATAACACCATGGTAGGCATGGTACAAGTGGGGCGCGCAAATGATGGTACCCACCCGACATTCGTGTGACACCTGTATTTTCGTTGGAAGTGGATTGGGGGGGTACTGAATGGTACCATGTTGTAGCACGAACGTCGGGGACGTAATTTAAACCCGATTCACCACGGGAAAAATAGTGTCAAGAAATTACCGTGAACAGCGTGACGAAAAAATCTGCTGGCGTCACAGATAAAATTCAGTGTACAGCCGGCTTAATGTGAAGACAACAACAACCAACAACAACTGGCGAAATAGACCCTAAACAAGACCGTATCCAGCCGGTTTTCTTCCCACTCTCTACCGCTGTGAAGACTCTAGCACATCCCTTTCGACTGCTGGTATGTATCCGTACTATCTCGAATGGTATTATAGTCTTTCTGTGTGTTTATGCATACTGCTGCGAGTGTTCATGTATATGCTTCTTTTCTAGAAACAATCATGGACAAACATGCTATTTATTATGCGTATCATACACTTGGACGATCCGCAGAACATGGCGTCTCTTCCTTAGATCGTCCGCACGCTTCTGAGAGCGAGGGCAAGGGCACTACCGCAGCCCTGAGTGCGTCACGCTCTAATATGCAGCAACGATCGTTGGACAAGATGGCCAATACCGCTGTGGCGCGGGGCCACCTTCCACCCCACTGGTTTCCTCAACACAATCGACATCTCATCTGTAACCATGATGTGTTACGAAATACCGGTGGTACATAAAAACAGAGAAATGTTGTCCAGCCGTGTGAAAACAACCAACAGCCTCTCATGTACGAAAAATAACCTCACAGAAAGACTACCCGTTGAGATGTAACCTACATGAAAGTGGTTCAGTGAGTGGAGAGTATTATTATTTGCATTCTATTTCGAATACGACCGATTAAATCGGGCCGATTTTACGCACCACTAATTATATGTACATTTTTTGTTCGGAGACCGGAAACACATGGCGTATTAGAAGAGAGATAGACGGAGAGACAGAGAGAGCAACGGCCACGCAAACCACAGCGGGAGAGGCGCTACGAAGGCGAGGATGGGGGCAGCACGTCCTCTTCAAGTAAAGGTTGGAGAGTGGACAAACTCATCATGGTTGAGAGAGAGAGAGAGAGAGAGAGAGAGAGAGAGAGAGAGAGAAGCAAGGTCCTGTTGGATGGGTGGCACCCGAGGCCGAACGACAGAGGACGTGTGGGGCGCAGCACAGAACACATTCCTCAATTCCGAATAATCGAAAACTCCAAACTCCAAATAATATTTGGTGACCTTGGGTGACCATCCGACATCCGACCTGAATCGCAACGTCCCCAGCATCCCAAGGAGAGACGCAACGCTGCACCTTTTATACCTCAACGAGGGTGCAACATGTGCGGCGTGACGTATGTGCACGACGAGAGGTAAAGACGAATAACAGGTTCATTTTTCTCACATGATAGTCGATGTAGTACTCCTTCCAGTCTTCATTCCTCTGCTGCTCTAGAGTTGCACCGAATTGCACCATCACAGACGATGGAAGAAGCTCTCCTCGTTCGGTGCGCCGGCACCCGTGTATCTACCAGCTACAGCGGCAGCCCTCTCTCCCCCGACTAGAGAGTAGTGGACAGCTGAGCAGGTGGGTGTGGAGTGTGGAGACGAGTGGAGTGTGGAGATCCAGATGAAGACGACGCGGGGGCACCACGGATGATATGGGCGTGGGCGCGTGGGCTATTATTGCAAGCTTGCCGGTCTGCCGATTCAGAGACAAACCCGGACGCTGCCGCGCTGTCGCATGCTAACCCTAACCCTGACCCTAACCCTAACGGTAGATTCGGTGATTGTCAGTTGCAATGATGGCTTTGGTTGGGTGTTCTTTTTCACTGTTCATGTCCACGGACGCATTCTGACAGCACTTCAGACAGCAGTTGCGCGCCCCGAACTTTTTGTGCCATGCCTTCACCATGGTGTTGTTATTGTACTGGCAGCACTCCAGACAGCTGCACGCTGTGTATGTACCGTATATGACACAAGATAACACACCCCCTGGGCCGATTTTCAAAGCTCGATTTCTCAACAGCAGGAAGAGTCACAGCGCCGAAAACGGCGGCGTTGGAACCGTCTCGTCGAGAGGTTTTCGAAAATGTATTGTTTCGTTTATGCATCCTCTTCGTCGTGGAGTAATATAGCTTTGAAAATCGGTCCAGGGGGTGTGTTATCTTGTGTCATATACGGTATGTATGTAGTCGACAAACATTAATTTTGGTGAAGTGTGGGACAGGGGGGATGATGCTGCTGTATACAGTACTGTAGTCGAATGTAGTGTGTGGACGGGTAGTTCAGTTTTGGGCACGCAAACGTCCTGCAGGGATGTGTAGGTGTGTAGGTGTACCTCTTCTTGGGGCTACCCTTTTTTTCTGGCTAGTTTGCGTGTTGTTCTTGAGATCTGACCACGGATGGCTCTCTAGCATTTTTGTGACCACGGACCGCGTCTTTGCTAGATTTTGGGATTAGCAACTGACACGAGTTTAATGTGAAGACAACAACAACAACAACAATGCTCGCCCACAGAGGCGCACACACGCCGTATGCCGCTGTCATGAAAATACGTGAAGGACTCGTATCGATAGATACTTTCGTAAATGGTCGGCCAATCTGCCAACCCTTCGGCCAATCTGCCAACCCTTCTGTTTTGAGAGTCTGCAGGTAGGTGCGTGTCGGCGTTTTTTTTTCTTGCCTGCCTAAACAGTCCCGATATAGTGCCGGTATGTGTCCAGGCGAATTGACCGGCACTATACCGGGCACCGGCACTATTCAGATTTGTGCTTGAATAGTTGGCACAGGGCCTGAAAATCCCTCTATATATAGTGCCCGCCTGCACTATTATTCAGGAATGTTCGACTTCAGAGTGACTGCAGCGCTTGCGCTTTGCGGGGCTGACAGAGTACCAAACGAACGGTATTTGGGTCAATCGTGACGTGGGCGACGTGGGCGGGCTTCGTGAGGCTCTTCTTGGACTGACTGTCGAAAACACGGCATTTTTGGTCACTTGATTGACCAGATAGATTTGTCGCACAGCAGTTGTTCTCTTCCCACCTCAGCGCAAGCACTCGCTAGTGAAACGTTGCTGCTGCCTTTCAACCGTAGACCGTGCTGCCCGATAAAAAGTGCACCTCACTTTCAAATTATCATGTATGTATGTGTTGTATTGTAAGAAGGCCAATAAAAAACAGAAAAAAAAGAAGGCCGTGTAGTACCACTATTATTCAGGCAAACCCCTCGACAGCGAAAGAAAGACGCACCCGATGTACATTTGGAGGTAAAACATGGATGGATGTAGTGCTTGCTCCTTACATGAGCACACAAAAGCAGATGCAACCTAAAAAAGGGGTGAAGAAGATGGCGAACTCCCCTGTTCCTTCGATAAAAGGCTAGAGAGAAGACCAAGCCTTCAGAAGCAAGAAAAACGACTGGCCAACCAAAGACGTCGTCAGTCTCAGTGCGGTCAAAAACAGAAATTAATTGTTTCTCAAGGCCGTGAGAGGGTGTCATGGAGGAGGCTGAGCTATTCTCTGGATAAAAGACAGAAATGGAAGCAACAGAGACAGGAGAACTACGTGTTGTCGGCTCTCGCAACGCGTTCGTTCTTGACAAAATCCGCGAAAAGCGAGTGCTACTCGTTTTTCTCGCCTACTACGAGACCCGGCAACAAATCTGGGGGACCACCAGCACCTGTTGCCCTACAGCAGCAGCAGTACGATACGGGGTCACAACAGAATATAAGCTTTCGAAGGCGGCCGTGGAAGTAGGTGACATATATATGCATATATATGCATACCAGTAACGGAAGCGCTTGATTGTGTGGAGATATCCCATTCATGCAGGGTACCACCTCTCTCTCCCCAATCCCCAACGTCCACTGCGGACGAATTGATGCGATTGGCGCTACAACGAAGAGAACCCAATCTCTCTCGCGGACATAGTCTACGCATAGTCCAAACGACTTACAGATCCCGTTCCATGCGGGTTGATGTAATAATCTCCCCAACGTCGTCCGTAGAGAGGACGATTGCCTCTCTGTAGACACGATTCGCCTTGCAATCCAGAGAGCATCCTCCGCCTGCTTTCTTTTTTTTTTTTCGTTCCAACGCACACATAATAGCAGACCAACTTTGTTTGGAAGATGGTGCACACCCTACCCCCCGGCTTCTTTATCAGGAGGTCAAGCCAACGTTACCTTCCCCATGATGGCTCCGTCGAACGGAAGTCACTGCTGCCTCTTGTTTTGCGAACGTTCTCGAGTTCGTCCCTCGTCGGTGCCTTCCAACTATTAACGCCTCCACCAAACCTTTGCTTCAGGCAGCAGCATCTATCCAAACAACCCCATAAACTTCGTTCCCACCTCTCTCGCGGTACGCACAGCTCTGTTACCACCGTCCAACGACCCCTACACACGAAGTGACACTACTTACGGGAATTGCTAAATATGGTGTGAACTTTCCTGTGTATGCCAGTCAAGACCTCTCGTTCAAACCACTCAGTCTCTTTTCAACCAACAAAACCGCACAGCCGTGCTAGTAATAAAAATACACACACGCACACACCCAACCAAAAACGTTTTATTTCACCTGGTACATTATATTATTTCTTGAGTTTCTTGGTAAAGAAGCTACCGGTCGACCACGGTACAATCAACCTGGTCTCCTCTCTTCTAGAAAAACAATACAAAGCTTACGCCTGCCGCATTCTTTTTGCCAGGCGGTCTTCCTCGCTTTCCATGAGATAGGCGTTCTTGTCCTCTTCCGCCAGCCTCCCCAGGATGCGAAGCCCCGCCATGTTCCTCCCCACGACGTCCCTCGACGCCTCGAGTTGGCGCCGAAGGTTGTTCCGGAGGGCGTCGAGGACGACCACCATGCTACCCGTCGACACAATCCTCGCCTGCGAGCGAAAGGCAGACCAGGCGACGGGCGCCCGGGGTCGTGCGCGACGGTCAGAGGAATGCATGTGCGCGCGGTTTGCTGTATTTCTTCACCTGGCACATACCGCGGTACTGCTGTAGTCGGCTGACCAACGGAAAGACGCCAGGCTTGGGCGGGGCGAAAAATGCCAGCTAGCCCTACTAGGTGTTTCTATGAAAGGCCTTCCCGCCCGCGTGCATGTGTACCCATAATTGCGACAGGGACCCTTCGGCCTCCTTACGAGGCCCGGCACAGTATGCGGTTTCGCCGACCGGAGGAGGGGGGGGGAGTTATGTTGTCTGCACTCGAGTCACTACTTTTCGTTATAAGAGACGAGACGATCAGCAAGGCCACCGTGGGATCATACAAAATCTAAACTCGGCGATAACGACATTGTCCCATCACTCGTTGTTCTCCCGTCCCGCTGTTCTCGCCTGCACCGAACGGCAATCGATATTGCTTTGTATGCACCTCCTCGGCTAGAAAAAAAGAATGCGCATCTCAAAATCGACAGGTTTGTCTTGTCGTCTTCGGTAATTCCACCTCCCAGTCTTCCAGACACAACAATGCTTTTGTGAGCCAAAGAATGGGTTTAGCATGCATACAATCTCCCCAACGTCGGTCGAGGACGATTCCCTCTTTTCAAACTAAATGCACACAATCACCAATCACAACGCTTGGCCTTCACTCCGCGGTACCCCTCTATGGGATGACTCCGACATCACTAATACAGTAAATAGCAACCGTTTCAGTTCTTATTCGATGCCTCCCTTGTGTCGGCCGACTTCCAATCAAACAAACGTACAGTTACATACGCCTTTCCATCTATCCACCCAATCATTTATGTATCCAATACATCCATCCATCCAGCATCCCCACCCATCTATACGTACGTACACACATACCTGGTGTACGCGCAGAAGAAACACCGCGCAGCGCGCGCACAGCTCGACCTCCAGCCCGGCTGCGAGCAACCTTACCAGGAAGTTCGCCAGGCTCTCCACCTGCGAAAACGGTAGCACCAGCAGAGCCTGCTCTAGCTCCGGCGTCTTGATCATCTGGGGATTAAAAAAAACAAAAAAACATCACGGTCACCGTTTTAACAGGCATAGGGTCGGCGGTCGATGGGTGGGGGGATTACTGCTGTTGGTGCACCCGAAACTGCGATAAGGTAAGTGCGGCAGGAGGCGCTATAACGTCTCAAGCGCATCACGCGTCCTTGGTATGCATGTGCACGCACGACGAACGACGATCCCAAGACGCCTATACCTTTCATGACTTCTTCTGTCGATGCCTCTCTCGTACCCACCCCCACCTGCGCCCATTTCGTAACCCCCCCCCGTCGCCCCCGTCCCGGTATTGTAGGGATACGAGGCCAGTGGTCTTCGCGACTACGGCATGCGTCACATTAGTACAACCCTCTCCCCTAATTCTCCTGTGGGAACATGGCTCCGTCCTCTCGAGGACGCGTGGTCAATGCTCTAACCGCGAAGGCATGCAAAACATGAGTACACGCCCCCGTCCCAGACATTGTGTAGGGATGCGAGGCCAATGGTCATAACGGCTACGGCATGCATGGCTGCACATAACCCCCCCCCCCCCCCCACCCCTCTCCCTCTTCTTTTCACCTGGAGGGTTCTGAGGACGTATCGCAGGGGAGAAAGGTTGAGAAGAATCGGGTTCGGCCGCCGCGCGGGCGGCGCCGGCTCCCCTCTTCGTCTCGCCTTGGCCGCCGCCCTCTCCTCTTCGCGCATGAGCTTCAGCTCCAGCTCCGCCAGCTCCAGAGCGTCCATGAGCCTCTCGCCCGCCTTCACCGACTCCAGGGACCGTTTGGTGGCCGGCCCGGACTCCGCCTGCTGTGCGCCGCCGCCGCTCGCCCCACCATCGCCGTCCCCTCCCTCTTCGGTGCCTGTGTGTACCGCGGTGAAAATTTTATTAGTCCCGGCCCCGGTCATGTACGTATGCACGATGTAAAAATGGTACAAGGGGTTAACAAAGGGTTTTATCGATCTACGGCGGTGGTTTCCCTTCTTCGCGCCTGTACCGCGGTGAAAAATGACAGACCCGACCCCGTGATGTATGTATGCACGATGCAACAAAGGTAGGGCTATGTTGATCGTGCGGGTCAGGGCGACACACAACCTACGGTGGTGGTTTCGGGTCCCTCGGAGGGAGGGCCTAAAGGACCAAACTGGATTGTTTTCGTAGAAGAAGCAAGAAACGCCATGATCTGATTCGATTTCGGCACCGGGATCGGTGGTTGTCGCACCACCCCGGTGCCAGGACAGCGATACAACCCCCCGCCGCTTCGACCTGGTCTGTGACGAGGTAGCCACGGCCCCCGTGACATGGCGCAATGGGTGTGCGGTACGGACTAGCCCACAAACCAGTCCCACCACAACCGCGGTCAATGGTGTAACCACCAAGGCATGCAAAACACAAGGGTAAAGGGTACCCCCCCCCCCCCAACCTTCCTTTTACCTCCTTTTCCTGTGTTCTTTATGCCTTCCGTTTTGTAATTTGTGACGTCAGGTTGTAAATCCCAAGCCCCACCCCGTACGTTTGGACAAGCTATCCCTTAAAGAATCCCTCGGAATGAT